TATGTTACTTGACGATAAACAAATTTATAAATCAAAATTAAGATTAATTCAATTAAAAGTTCTTAAAATGTTTTAACACAATTTTTTTTTAGCGGAACACGATTTTTAGTCTTAATCCTTTAATTTTGAATAAGAGTGTCACGATTTTTATTTTTCATTTTAATAAAAATATTTAAATTAGCTGAAATAATTCAATAAATTGAGTATAGGCAATATAACAGTTAAAAATAGTTGACAACAGTTGTATATTATTGCAAGCAGCATTTATCGTCATATTGCCAAATAAAAATGATCGGCAATAGAAATTTCGTTTAGCTAAAATAATCTAATTTTAATTATGTTCTGTGTCTAATGATAATATAAGTTTCGATGGTTTATTCGTCTCTATATTTTCGCCAAATAGAATTTATCGTCACACATTATTTTGACCAGTTTCACGATTTTTAGTTTTAAACTTTCAATTCTAGATAAGATTTTTGTGATTTTCATTTTAATAAAAACGTTCAAAATTAGCTGAAATAGCAGCATAAGTTAAGCATAAACAATATAACAGTTGATTATAGTTGAAGATAACTATGGCAGCTGTTTATTAAATATATCGATAATCAAAATCGAACATAATAAAAGCACCGTTAAATAAAAGATAAATAAACAATTTACTTGCATAAATTACTGGTACCAATTTTATATCGATGTTCGATATAGATTTTGAAATATTTTTGTTAATTTCATGGACACATGGTTTTCTGTTCATTGAGATTCAAGCAATTAAAAACAGTTTTTAAACACTTCTCTTTTTATATTATATCTATCTATTTTGTATCATCTATTTATGGGTGCATTACACATATGCCTTTTGTTTGTTAAAAATATCTAATTTATTAGTCATATCATATTGTACAGATCTTGTTGCTTTTAACATAAGACAGTCACTGTGATTAGCCGATTTCATGTTGGATTTGTATCTACCAATGTCCGCTGTCTTGTAATTTTAAAATCTACCCAGAGGACGAGGAAACTTCAAGATTGAGACGAAGTCACTTTTCTGAAGGACTTTAGAGGTATAAACTAACCCTCGTTTGTATTACACTGCGAGGAAAACCAACCACGGTTAGCCTGTCGACGAAATGATATTTGGGATAAATAAGGGATAATAAGGGATAAATAAGGGATGGACAACTCAACACTAGGGATATTTTACATGAGCACTGTGGTCGGTGCGAGTCGAGAGTAGTGTACGAATCGATCAGTTGAACCACAGTTCAAACCTCGGTTGCTAACGATCCCGCTTGTTACATATATTTTGAATATCAAAAGGGAATGCGTTAAGAGAGTTGTCTTGAAAGCTGTAAAGCATATTTAACTCTAAAAGCAAGCACATTAACTCTTTTTGCGGCAGTATTTTGTTAGTGCGCAATGGGAACTGGTGACTTGGAGATGCCATACAACCGCAAAGGCTTAAATATGAATTTCAATATAGATAATCTGATATTTTATTGAAAAACCAACATTTATTTAAAGAAGTGTTGGCTGTGCATTATTATTATTTTTAGTAAGAAAGGAAAATATGAACAAGATAATTTTCCCATGATAATTATTTAGTATATCTGCCACAAATAAAATCTTTATTTTTATTATTTGTTGAAAATATACATTTACTGTGAAAAAATGCCTCAATAATTGTAAAACATATTCTAACAAAAGGTATACATTTCAACACTAATATACGAAAGCTACATATATTTTGAACATAAAAGGGAACGAATAAAGATAAGAGTTGTTGGAATTCTAAAGCTTCAACGTTTATTTTAAACTTACACAGAAAAATAAAGCTATATATATATATTTTATATAGAAAAAAGAAATTATTAGGAGAAGAATTTTCTCAGAAATTTTAAAGCGAGCGATGTTAAGCATCTAAAAATGGTATTTTAAGAAATATTTAAAATAAAAGTAGGAAAGAAAGAAAAGTTGTAAGGAAATATGAGTTTCAGCATTATTTTATTGGAAAATTAAATTAATGTAGAAGAAGCGAAGAACAAGTATTTTTTGGATTTAAAATGGAAAATATAAAGAAAAGAGTTATAGGAATGATATAGTAGATGATAATAAAACATGAGTTTCAACATTATTCTATTTTGTTAAAAAAATTAATTTATTCTGAGAAAATAAATCTACTTAAATTTTGAATATAGAAAAGAAAATATGAAAAGGAGAATTGTATCAGGAATTTTATAACCTATAAGATTTTAAGAGTAAATTACAAAATTGGTATTTCATTAAAAAATAACATATATTTTGATTATAAGAGGCAAAATATAAAGAGAAAAGTTATAAGAATTCTAAAGCAGATTATATATATTTTTTAAAAAAGTTTAATTATTTTTATTTCATTGAAAAATTAAATTTACATAGAAAAATAGAGAGCTACATATATTTTCGTTCGAAATAAGATGGAAAGTATAAGGAAAAAGTTTAAAGAAAAAGGAATTGTCTTAAAAATTCTAAAGCAGATGATTTGAAAAATAAATTTCAACTTAGATATTTTATAAAGAAACTACATTCACTGTGATAAAAGAAAGCTACAAATATTTTTGAGTGTAAGAGGGAAAGTATTAAGAAAGAAAAGAATTGCCTTAAGAATTATAAAGTAGATGATTAAAGAAACACGAATTTCAACTTAGGTATTTTATAAAGAAATTACATTCACTCAGATAAGAGGTTAGCTATATATATTTTGGAATTTAAGAGGGAAAGTATAAGGAAGAAAATCATTGTCTTAAAAATGTTAATGCAGATGATTTAAAGAACAATTTTTAACTTCGGTATTTCATAAAGAAATTACATTCACTCAGATAAGAGTCAGCTACATATATTATGGAGTTAAAAAGGGAAAGTAAAAAAAAGAAAAGAATTATCTTAAGAATTCTAAAGCAGATGGGTTAAAGAACAATTTTTAACTTCGGTATTTTATAAAGAAATTACATTCACTCAGATAAGAGGTAGCTATATATATTTCGGAATTTAAGAGGAAAAGTATAAAGAAAAAAAAAAGAATTGTCTTAAGAATTTTACAGCAGATGATTTAAAGATTAAATTTCAACTTAGATATTTTGTAAGGAAATTACATTCACTCAGATAAGACGAAGCTACATATATTTTGGAATTTAAGAGGAAAAACATAAAGAAAGAAGAAAAAAAAAGAATTGTCTTAAGAATTTTAAATTCTAAAACACATGATTTAAAGAATAAATTTCAGCTTTGGTATATTATTAAGAAATTGCATTTATTCAAATAAGAGAAAATTACTTAAATTTTGGATTTTAAAATGGAAAGTATAACGAAGAAAACAGAACTTGGAAGTTAGCCGTGTTCGGAGGGTTTTACCTTTAACGCAGAGAAATACATGATTGTTTTAAGCTGTATTTCATAACCATAAATTATTGAAATGTTAAATACTGTATTTTCACTTATTTCAACCCTAATTAATACAGAATTATGAAAAAAGTATAAAATTATGTTTTATAAAAATTTTGTGTCAAAGCGTTGAGTAAGAGAAAGCTACTTGATTTCGTTTTTAGTATTCCTAAATATAAAATATAGTTTTATATTATTTCTAAAATTTAAAAAAAAAATTAAGCTTCAAATTATATCAGGAATTCTAAAGCAGATAGTTTAAAGAAGTATTTTGAGAGAAACAATATTTATAAATTACATTTATTTAGATAAGAGAAAGTTAACTACATCTTGGATTTAAAAAGAAAAGTTTTAAGCTCAAAATTATATCAGGCTGATAGTTTAATGAAGTATTTTGAGAGAATTGTTAATTTTTTACGTTTATTTAGATAAGAAAATGTTGCATATACTTCGGTTTTTAAAAGGGAAAGTATAAAGATGAGAATTGTCTAAGGAATTCTAAAGCAGATAGCTTAATGGAGTATTTCGAGAGAAGTTGTTAAGTTTTTACGTTTATTTAGACAAAAGAAAGTTAATTTTGGTTTTTAAAGGGGGAAGTATAAAGATGAGAATTGTCTAAGGAATTCTAAAGCAGATAGTTTAATGAAGTATTTCGAGAGAAGTTGTTAAGTTACGTTTATTTAGATAAGAGAAGTTACATATATTTTACTTTTTAAAAGGGAAAGTATAACGATGATAATTGTCTCAGGAATTCAAACGAAGATAGTTTAGTGAAGTATATTAAGAGAAGTTGTTAAGATAAGTTTAATTAGATAAGAGAAGTTAAATATATTTTGGTTTTTAAAAAGGAAATTATAAAGATGAGAATTATCTTAGGCAGAATTATCTAAAGCAGATAGTTTAATGAAGTATTTTGAGAGAAACTTTTAAGTATTTACGTTTATTTAGATAAGAGAAAGTTGCACGTAATTTGGTTTAAAAGCGAGAGTATAAAAATGAAAATTGTCTCAGGAATTCTGAAGCAGATAGTTTAATGAAGTATTTCGAGAGAAGTTGTTCAGTTTTTACGTTTCATTAGATAAGAGAAAGCTGCATATACTTTGGTTTTAAAAAAGGAAAGTATAAAAATGAGAATTGTTCTAGGAATTCTAAAGCAGATAGTATAGTGAAGTATTTAATGAGAAGTTAAGCTTTGACATTAGAAAGTTACATGCATTTTTGATTTTAGAAGGGAAAGTATTAAGACGAATATTCTAAAGCAGATATCACTTAAGGTATGTTTTTGCCTTTCACAGTTTAAACTATGATTGAATTTGAGAGAAAAACAAGTTAAAATATGCACCATGACTTAACGAATAATTCCCAAATAGGGCGAAACGGAACTTTCGATGAATGAACTTTCCGATTTCTGTCTGTATCCGCCACTCCAACAAACAAACAGAAAGTCAACCACCGTTTCGGAAAGAAATTAAGGACTTCTGAGGAGTTTTCCCCAAATTAAAAGAAAAACATTTATGTTTCTTGATGACGTCATTTAACTTAATGTCCGGGATGATGTGGGTGACCTACATTTTGGAACAGACGGGCTGTTGAACCTGACCCCAACAAAGAATGGGCCTCCAGAAGTTCCACCAATAAGATAGCAACCGCGCCTCAAAAAGTCGCCGAGTTTTTGCAAGGTGAGGATGAACCCAACGTTGTGTTCATTATCGTAGTATCATCAAACAACGCCAGAGATTAAAAAAAAGACTCGAGTTCTTGTTTAGATTGGCGTTGAATTATGTAATTCCCCGGTTGACACGCAAGATTTACCTGGTATGGCAACCCTGTTTTTGCAGATGCAAGCGGTAACTTTCGAACAGGGATGTAAATGTTAATGACAAGACGAGTGAGGCACATGAGCTGGCTTTGTTTAGGGTCTTGATGATAAGAATGATGGTTGTTTTGCTAGAGTGTTTATGACTTGATTCTGAAATGTGAGGGCTTTGTTTTGTAAATAGTGATGTATCAAATTGTGCTCGTTTTTGTGTTGCTGAGCTCCACACTGCAAGTCATTGCATCGGGTGAGTATTCTTTTTTTAATAATCAACAATCATATAATCAACAATAACACGTTTTATGACTAATTATCATTTGGTTATAATTTATACATTCAGACAATATGACTTAGCCGGTGGCGAGCAGATTTATTCGGGCGAATTTTTTCTGTCCATTGTCTTTTTGACATATGAAATACGAACCCTTCATAAAGTTGGGTCTCTGTCCTCACAGCCGGGTCCATTGGACCCGGGTACTGTAAAGAAAGAGAAAGAATTATAAGAAAAGTGGTACTAACATACGAATTCTTAGTAGAGAAAATCTTGCTATCCGTTAGAAAATAAATGAAATTTTAATTAAAAAAAATTAAATTTTATCATTGAAATAACAAAGTAAGCATAATCATCCTATGTCATCTTATTAGGGATGCTCGGGCATGCATATAGATATAAGCAGATAAATGAATGTTATACGTATATATGTATGTTATAAGTATGTAATGCATATAAATGAGTGTGTGTTAGTAAAATTCCTTAATGAATTATATGAAGCTTCCACTACTAACAAAATTGTGTTTATCGAATTATTTCTACTGAATTATTCTTCAATTCATTTGTTTTCTTAGCATCTTTGTTTCTCCATTGTGTCAGAAGGCTATATCAAATCTCTTATAAATTAAAAACCATTTGTGCTAGGGTTTCGAAAATAATAATAACATCAGTCTTTAAATATTTATATCTTTAAATATTTTGTAAGAAATTCTTGGAACTCTTTTTATAAGTTTTAGAAAAAAATATCAATATCTGGAAAATTAAGCGAGACTATAATGAACTCAATTTTTAAAATATTCGTCCAGTATTTTATTTCTAACATTTTTGTGCATTTCTTAAATTTTTTTCTTAAAAAAGTTCATTTATTTAAAAAAATTTAAATAATTTTTTTAAGAAAAACTTGAAACTGTCTTTTAGTTAAATTTTATTTTTTATACTGTATTTTTAATAAAAATATTTTTTGAACCTTCAAAAAATTATTTTAATTTTGAAAAAGTATTTTCGAGTTTTCAAAGCTTCTTTTTTAAAAAAAAAACATCATTTGGAGAAACCTTTGCAGGATAGAGTGGGAAGTGGGCACTTATCCCTTTAAAAGATGTTCATTACCGTTTCTCAAATATAATATTTTACTGCTGTATATCATGTAAGTATGATCAAATTTCATAGTATCCATTAACAGTTTTTAAAACATTTTGTTTTACCTCTTTGAAATATTTTTGTTATAGTTGTTTTGTTATACTATTTCTAACATTAATTTAAAATTAGAGTTGTGGTTAAAATTAGAGTCGGAGTTCAAAGAAACTCCGGTTATTTGGATGCTTGGTTGTACAGTTTAAAAATGTCCTTGAGAAAAATATTTAAAATTATGTGAATAAAGATGTTACTCGAAGATAATTATTATTAAATTATATTATTTAAATATCATTTAAATTATGTTAGGATAGAACTACTGGAAAATAACATTAAAAAATATTGAAATTATAAAAAACATATGTTTTGAATAAAAAGATAAACGTTGTGATTGTATAAAAAACAGCCAATGGAAATCTCTATCAATCGCCACCTTGAACAAAAATGACAAAAAGAAAAAAAATTAAGGAAAATTCCAAAAAGGAACGGACTTTTATGACGTGTGTTTTAACTAAAACATGTGGTTCAATTCTTATAAGGAAATTAAAACACTTCACATTCGTAATCTCTTTTATCCTTTTTTTTTTATCATTCCTGGATACCCCCGATGGGGTACGCTTATTCTTTTTTTTCCTTCTAATAAGAGACATTGAGGATTTATGGTTATTAGTTCGAATCTCAACACTTTGTTGTCCGGCAATTTTATACAGAAACTATGTTATGTCACCAGCTATTAATTTGTAGCTGAATATGTAAGTAACGTAAAACACTTTAAATGTAGATTTCATGCCCAAAAGTTGTTCACCTATGACGAGTTAACTCAATATTGCAATGATGAGTTAACTCGTCATCAGTCAACAGCGCTTGGGCATTAGAAGAAGTGTTAACTCGTCACAGGTCAGCAGTGTGTAAAAATATGTTCAATCAAATCGTTGTTGACCGATGAAAAATTTATTAGACATTGAAAGTGCAATGATGTTTTAACTCGCCATCGGTCAACAACGTTTGGGCATAAAAAGACGAGTTAACTCGTCGCCGGTTAACAGTGAGTTTAAATATGTTAAATTAAAGCATTTCTACATTTTTCAGAAGAGTTCGGAGTTGGAGTTGTAAGTTTCAACAGCTGACTCCGAAGTTCTGGTTAAAACATGAATCGTTTAATCAATTAGAAGCTACAACCATTTTAAAAGTGATTACATAAGCTGTTTTTAAAGCCATAACTTCCTTTTATGCTTACACAAAGATACCTTTATACTTTAAGTCTTAAAGAAGCTCAAAAAAAGCCTCATACCTATAAAAACTTTGAGATATTAGTCTCCAATTTGAGCCTTTTTTTTAAATGCATGCATCCCTTTCAGTTATCGTATTGTTAGAAATTTCACAAAACCGTAATTTTGCAGTAAATTGAATTGAAAAGATGTTTTTACGAAGTTTCACACGAAATAACTATACAATAAGAAGTCTTAAAGAACGGAAACTTATGATATAGTAGTCTGCAACTTGCACCTTCTTTTTAATATATATATACATCACTTCCAGTTACCTTATTGTTACAAAATTTCACAAAAATGTAGTTCTGCAGTAAATCTTGAAAAGATGTTTTTACGAAGTTTTAGACGAAATAAATATATAATAAAAATACAATAATATTTTTATATGGTTATAATTAAAGATGATTTACATGTAACACAATGTGGCAGTATTGATGATATGAAATTTTTTCTATTGACATTTTTAATCAATATTGATGCAAATGAAGGGATGTATGATTGTAATTTTAGTTTAAATACTTAAGCTGTAATTGATCCGTATTTAAGGTACTAATCTGTCATCAAGAGCCAGGGTCCGATCCCTGGTTGTGGCTAGATGCCAACCTAGCATTAGATCGATGGATACCAACCTGACTGAGCAGAAAAGGCGGTCGGTACGAAACTTTAATCACATTGCCCATCATTGCAGTTTGGTTACGAGATCGTGGAGCTCTCCTTGCTTATATTGGATGCATTTTTAATTTTTTGTACCTTAAATTTTATGCTTTACTCTTGTTGAACTCTTAATTTCAAATATTTCCTGCATAAATTTGACGTGAACTAATTACCTCAGAGCTTTCTTTGTATCTAACCTTTAGAAATTGTAAACAAAAATTATCCTTGGTTTAAGTATTAGATATCAAAGGGATAAATATACACTTTTAATAATGAGATTCTGTTGGTTTTTATTTTGAGCAATGCAAAAATGTATTTCTTGTAGGTATAAATATATGTTAAACTAATAAGCAAGAATTTTTTTCTTTTTAAAATAAATAAACACAACATGGTGAAAATTAATAATCACCCATTTATTTAAAAATTTCAGCTTTCACTGTATTTACAGATGGAGTTAGCAATAAAAACATTGATTGTCATAACTTGCAGTTGATTTGTGCCATACCACATATTATACATAAATTTAAAAAAAAAAAAAATTATTGATAAATTGATTATCTAATTCGTTTATTCACCCATTCATTGATTCGCCCACTTTCACTAATAAGCCGAATCACTGATTTATTGCTTGTATTGGTCCCTTTTAACACATTTTTTTGAAAATTTTAGATCTCTAATTGAAAAAAAAAAAGTTTTGCCAGAAAGTTAAGTCAAATGGGAAGATAAATGAAAGATTTTTTTAAGAAAAATAATAATTAAAAATGGTGTAATTTAACAAAAAAAAAGCCCTATTCGTACAGAATTTTTCAGTACAGAGAAAATTCTAACAGAATTTTTCATTTTTAAAAAAATTTAAATTTTTTAAACAACTTTTATATTGCTAAACGATTTTTTTTAAAAAAAGACTTAAAATAGAAAGGATTATAATTTTTTCTAAAGTTCTAAGGATAAAAAACTTTGATTTTTCGCAAAAAAATTTAAATTTCTCGAAAACACAAGTCTTGCTTCCCTCATTAAGTAGTTCTAAAAATTTAAATGTCACAACAATATTTTATATTTTAGGTTGTAAAAACATTATCATTGTACAGAGCATGTTTAAGATAGTACTCGTCAAATAATTAAAATAATAGGACTTTTTTTTCTAATATCAAGTTCACATTTAGAAAATAAAATATTTTTTAATGGCATTTATTATTTTAAATAGGTTTATGTTTTGAAAATATCTGTTACTTTTATAACGAAACCAGAATAGTTGTACCAGAATTTTAGTAGAATGTTTGTACTATATGGACAAAATTTCCAGTTGCGTCGGTAACGTACTGAATAAGGTTTTATAAGCATAATTCTACTCAGGAAAATGATAGTAAGTGATAATAGGAGATTTTTTGCTCAAATTTTCTGTTTACCATAAAAATAAAAAAAAGGTCTCAGAGTCATAAGTTTAAATTGTTTCTCTTTAAAATTTTGTTATATTTAAATGTTCGCATAAAGTTAAAAAAGAAGATTTTGTTATATTTAAATGTTCGCATAGAGTTAAAAAAGAATATTTTGTTTTATTTAAATGCTCGTATTAAGTTAAAAAAGAATATTTGGTTTTATTTAAATGTTCGTATAAAGTTAAAAAAGAAGATTTTGTTATATTTAAATGTTCGTATAAGTTAAAAAAGAAGATTTTGTTTTATTTAAATGTTAGAGTCTACAGTTAAAAAAGAATATTTGGTTTTATTTAAACGTTCGTATAAAGTTAAAAAAGAAGAATTGGTTTCATTTAAAAGTTCGTATAAAGTTAAAAAAGAAGATTTTGTTGCATTTAAATGTTCGTCTAAAGTTAAAAAAGAAGATTTTGTTATATTTAAGTGTTCGTATAAGTTAAAAAAGAAGATTTTGTTATATTTAAATGTTAGAGTCTACAGTTAAAAA